AGAATTTCAAACTCGAGGCTATGATTGCAGCGAAAGTGATAATAGTATTGAATGTAATGAGGATTGTGTGGAGACGCCGATAGTACTCATGAGTCCAGCGGTTCATAATCCGCACCATTTCTTTGATAACGTGACCAAGTTTGAAATTCTCGATAGCAATGCAACTTTGATTTATTTTGCAACCATTCAAAAAGGTATTGATATACAAACATATCAAACATTAGTAGTTCACGAAGTTTTTAGTCAACTTCTGGGAGCTGTGATACCGAGGGTAGAGTAGACATAAAAGGCTATAAAATAGTTTTGCTTGGCAAATGATGCTCATTTTTATCGCACTTTTATTATATCCATTTTTATAGCTCGACAGATAACTAAGGGATGCTTTTTATCCAATAATACCACCACTTATTCGCTGAGAAAGACTCACATAATTCTTGGCCGAAGTGTCAACGAAACGACTGCACGACTGAATGACACCGAAAGTCGTAAAACTCTTCAAATCACAAGAAAATCACTGATTGTAGTGTCGGGCCTACCAGTGAACACAAGCAGTCACTCAAAACTTGTCCGATATTTATCACCTTTTGCTCGAAAACGCGTCGATGTAATCAATATTTATGACGACAAACACATTGCTTTGTTTAACATTAAAAGCGGAGCCGAAAATGTCTCGAAAGTAATACAAGCCTTACGGATGAGTTTCGATAAAACTAAAAGCAGCGGACAATCCATCAAAATTGGACATCCGATCCATCTTATAGTTGGCGGCATTCATGGCTTTGATGCCACTCTTAACAGTACTACACATAAAACAAGGGACACATTGCAGGACTTGTCTGACAGTAGATTTGCTGACAATCAAGAACTCAGATATTCGTTGCGTTCAATCGAGAAGAATGCAATAGCTCGACAGATAACTAAGGGATGCTTTTTATCCAATAATACCACCACTTATTCGCTGAGAAAGACTCACATAATTCTTGGCCGAAGTGTCAACGAAACGACTGCACGACTGAATGACACCGAAAATCGTAAAACTCTTCAAATCACAACAAAATCACTGATTGTAGTGTCGGGCCTACCAGTGAACACAAGCAGTCACTCAAAACTTGTCCGATATTTATCACCTTTTGCTCGAAAACAAGTCGATGTAATCAATATTTATGACGACAAACACATTGCTTTGTTTAACATTAAAAGCGGAGCCGAAAATGTCTCAAAAGTAATACAAGCCTTACGGATGAGTTTCGATAAAACTAAAAGCAGCGGACAATCCATCAAAATTGGACATCCGATCCATCTTATAGTTGGCGGCATTGTACCGAAACTACGGTGAGAATTGTCATGATGTGTATTTTGTTCCCTGTGTAACGTCCTGAACAGACTGTCATCTAAACGACTGTTAGTTCTTGAGTCTATAAGCAACGCAAGTTAGCTCTTCTTACGAAATTGGATTAGAAATGTCTTCATTGTAACCAATGGTCAGATCCCCAATTGGATTAACTTAGAGAATCACAGGGTTAGGATCATTACTCATGAGGTATGCTTCACCTTGACCATTTTAGATGATTTTAAGCAAAAACTTTATTTTAGGAGATTTTTACCAACAAAAGCCATTTGCCATCATTCAGTTCACCGGCCATTGAATCTCATATCCACCGAATCCCAGGCCTTTCCAAGAAATTTTTATACTTAAACGATGACATACTGTTGAGTCAACCCGTATATCCGGAAGATTTCTATACAAAAAGCAAAGGATATAAAGTGTATCTCTCGTGGCCCGTGCCTAACTGTGCTGATGGCTGTCCTATGAATTGGCTTAAAGACGGCTACTGTGACCAACCGTGCAATAAGTCTGAATGTCTCTGGGATGGCGGAGATTGTCTCAAAAATGACACTGATAAAAGGGGAGGTGCGGTCACATACACAGACTCGCCACACTATTTAAGATCATCGACAGCCTATTGCAGTGCAAACTGTGTGGATAGTTGGCTGAGCGACCGATTCTGTGATCAGGTCTGCAATAATATAAACTGCGGCTTTGATTTGGGCGACTGTGGGACCAGTAATTATAATTTACTCCAACGCATCGACTTTAAACTCAAACAAAATACTTACTCCTATTGTAGTAATACGACAGCAATGTATTTCAATTTAACTCATTTTGTTTTGACAAACTCTAAAAACGGAAACGACTTCGAGATCAATGAAATTAGTTATGAGAATAACAGTTACGTTCGGTCGGCGGCACTCAATATGAACCACAAAACTCTTACATTTCTCTTCGCCCCTAATCAGGAGAAACACAATCTAAACATAACTCTGAAAGGATTGAAA